AAGGCAAACTCACAGTGTGCCATCTCCCACAGAGGGCATCTGACCTGTCACCTGTGAAAACACCCCTCTGTCATGTGTAGACAAAATGAGAGGCATGTGTGCATGACACTTTAAAGTGGGCTAAATGCTTTTGCACCACTTTAATGGTGTTGCTATTTGCACACCTCGGTGGCGTATTGTGCATTAATTCCAGCCACTGTCGGAAATTCAGTGGCGTAATGCACCTTAAATGACTTGGGGTGCAACAAACTACAACTCCTTTGAGGAGTTTTAGTTTGCTGCCCTTACAGCCACGAAGCAAAGCACTGGGCTCCGTGCAGCTCCGCGGCTCTGCAGGAAGCCCTGCAGGCAGCCTGGCAGCAGCCAGGGAAAGCAGCCCCGCCCAAGAAAAGTGGCAAGCCTGATCTTTCCTTCACTTGCCCCCTGGAGCCTGCGTGAGCTGCACGGGGGCCTGGTGCTTCCTTCCTGGGTGCCTGCGGATGGGTGTCTCCTGGAGGGGGGGCCACCCACCACTGCCATGGAGGGAAGCACCAGCTCCACCCCCCCGTGCAGCCCAGGGATGGCTCCACCCACCAGCAGCTCGTCCTCCCCACCCCTTCCTGCCGGAGAGACAAGTAAGTCAGCGGGGGGTGTACACGATACGGGGGTTTAATCAGCCCTAAATTAAAGCGGTGTTTTTTAAAGCCCACTGCTTCAATTTAGGGCCCCCATTTCGAAGGAGTTAACGCTGTTTGAAGCAGCCTTTCATCTCAAGCAGATGTTCCTTTGGGCTTCCAGGCAGTTCTGAGGGCAGAATGTCCCTTCTTTCTCCCCTTTGAATTATAAAGCCCGGAACCCACAGCCTTGGGCAAAGGCATTTCTGCAGGTTTAGGAGAAGGGTAGAGCATACTATAGGTCCATGCTTCAGCTGTTCCAGATCTTTTTATCTCCTTCCCAACCATTCACATGAGTAGAGAAAAACATCAGGCTCATTGCCTTTTGGATCCAGGTTTCTGTTGAACTCGTCTCAACCTAAATAAGAGCAAGTTCCACAGAGAGCTTTGCTCCCATGTCTACTCCTCTCCAGAAGGCCTGTGAATCAGCACACACAGGGCCTGTGAGTGCAGTTTCTACCTGCCTGTAGATTGCCAACTATGACTTTTTCCCCCACATCCAACACCAGCCTCACCCTTCCTGAAGACTACCTGGTCTCAGGAATAGAGCTGGTTGCTTGTCTTGGCGAAGTTGGGGTCCATAGTATTGTGACTATTGTTGCATTGATGTGGTTGTCAAGGGAAATGGTGGGAAGGACACCAAACTTTGCACCATAAAGATGGTTGTATGAATCAACTAATAGTTTAAACCCCTATCCTATACTACTGGACACACATAGTAGGGCTTTGAGAAATTTCACCAGCTGTTTCATTTTGATGCTGTTTTGACTCATTTCAAGCTCAAAACAGTGAAATCAAAACAAAACAAAGAGCTTCAAAACAGCCTCAAAACGAAATGAGGGCAGATGAAACGTTTTGAAAGTTTTGAAACATTTCGAGTTTCGAAGCTGAAGCTGGGTTTGCCTGCAGGGAAACAGAAAGTAAGGAGAAGGAGGGGGAAGAACTGCTCTGATATTGACTGTGACCGTTTGGCTGCCCGAGATGCTGCTGGTGCTACTGTGCTGCTTACCAAGTTATTACCTGTTGTCATTTAAAGTGGTGGACTGGGCTGAGGCTGTAGGAGAGGAGGAGGCCTCACTGGGGCACACTACCGTGTCATGTAGAGGCCCCAGTGCCAGTGAGGGCACACCTTAACTAACACACACAAACACAGCCACACGTCATGAGTTTTGCTTGTCAGCAGCTTGAGGTGCAGTTTTCCAGAAACCCCTGCACATATCTCCTTGAAACCTGGCAGGCATCATGCCCTCAGAAGGCTCTACCATCCTTGCTGCTTTCATCCAAATCTGCCAAAAAATTATAAAGTTATAGGTATTTCAGCGATTCCCCATTTTAGTCTATGGCTGAGTCACCAAATCTCTGAATCAGCACTGAATCTCTGAAGCCAATTCAACCAAATCAATTCAGGACAGTGATCTGAATCTCTAAATGGAATCGCTGTCCTTCAAATCTGAATCTGAATTGAATAATTCCCTATTTGCACAGGCCTAGCTGCCATTAAGATCTAACATAGTTCATCTTTTCACAACTCCAGATAACTTTCCACATGACAGTCATGGCGAGGACGGACTGAAGAGGGCTCCTTTTTACAAAACAAAATGTAGTATGTTGTCATATATCTTAAATGACTGAAATGGCTTCTTGGTTAGCCTATGGGTGAAACGTCAAAACAGTGAAACAGTTTTGACAAAATGAAATGGAACAGTGCTTTCGAAAGGAAACAAAACTCAAAACACAACACTGTCCTGTCGAAACAGCAAAACGGAAGTCAAAACGAAATAGTGCTGTTTCACACAGCCCTAACACATAGTACTGTACAAGATCCCGGAAGAGTTTTGATTGGTACTGATCTAACCAGATGACATGGAAAATGCCCTCTCATTAAAAGAGAAACTAGAATTCTTTGTTTTCCAGGTAATCCCGGCCTACAAACACCCTCTTAGCGCTGCCCTTTACACAGATGCAAGTGTATGCAAAGATAAATAATTGGAGTCAGAGCAAAGAAACTCACGAGTGTCTCGTGGTTTTTCCTATGACCTTCTGAGAGTTGCAACTTTGATGTAAAAAATATAAATACCCTTCATTATGGGGTTTACTCTGCATTTATAAACAAGAAAATTAAAAATACCAGTAACTAAAATCCTAATGAAAATTAACTACTAAAATGTTAACTAACCTGACACACTCAACAATGCAATGGCCAAATTAAAGTTACAATCAAAACCAATTAAATCAACTGATGAACTCATGATTGCAAGTGAGTGCAAAATGAAGCCTTCACTATGACTGAGCCAGATGGGAAATTACTGTATCCAAACTAAAATGAATAAGGTTCCAGGTGTGAGGTCACGCATAAAGGAACATGGGGTGTTTCTCCAAGGAAGCAGCACTAGTTTCATATTCACAGGGCAGGATACCACCAGCACTGTTGAATAGCTGCTGTTAGGAACTGAGGGGTTTTCAGGTGCTAACTTATGCATGATTCACCCTTTAACTGTTCAGGAAAACAGCTGTGGGTGCACCTTGATAGCAAAAATATCTGGACAAAATGATATCCATTGCTCTATTACACATGAAGAACTTATTTTTGTCGTCCAACATTTACAGAGCTGCCAATGCAGCACTTTCTATTGGTACTACATTTAATTAGCATTAATAATGATTACTGCAACATGTAAGCTATAAACTGGCACATCCAAACATGATCCCGCTCATGCTCCCAAGACTAAGACAAACTATTTTCTGGGGCTGAAAACAGGATTCTCCCTATGCAGGCGTGTGCGCCAAAACAGACTCTAAGGGCATCTCCTCTTCTTGGGTGCTTGGGATAACAGAACTACTTGGATTCACAACTGCACTGGCTACTAGCTAAAAACATTCAGTTATGTGAATGACACTACCATACTAGTTCCAGGCAGCAGCACCAGGAACTTCCTGGGTTTATTCAAAGTATGATTTTAGGTCAGTGCAAAAATGTTCAGTGCTTCACATTTGCTAAGAGTCCTTCTTGTCTCGTGCCTTAAGAATGCAAGGTTCAGTGGTCCTACACTCCAAGAAACTCTTGCAAATCTACTGATTATGCTTCTGTTCTCATTGGCTAGATAGTGCCAGATAGCCCAAAAGCATTCTTAACATGAGTAGCATCCTGTGGTGCAGGGAGGACACACTGAAATACATGATGCTGTCCATGACAGGAGAAAGGGGACCAATTTGTAATAGTTGAAATAATCCATGCCCTGGCTAGGGATAGTCTTAAAATTAACATGTGTTCTATGCTGTGTGCCAGGAATGTCCACTAGCCACAAATTTAACAGGGGCAGACACCCTGTCAGAAGAAGCATTGACTTCACTTCTAACATGAAACACATTACTGGAGGAGCAGTACAAATCTAGATTCACTTTAGCGCTAGCTCATGTAAGTCAGGCTCATGTGCTTGAACTAGCAACGCATGACAAAATATTTGCCACAAAATACTCCAGATCTCAGCCTTTGTGTAGATTCAAAACTATTGCTAAAAGAAGTTTTTATTATGAAAATGTGACACACTCAGTTTTGTCTTCATTCACAGCCAAATCCCTATTCTTTGGGAAATTGTGATGAAAACTATATTTTGTGAGTGCAAAAACAGTCAGAAAGGTGTCACCAAAGAAACTCACTGTTTTGACATGTTTCTAAGGCTTGTACCTGCAGCTGCAAAGAACTCCCTTTAATCACCATCCTTTTAAACAGCGTTTCAGGATGGGAGAAATAAAATGAGGATCATAGATAGACATAAAGAAATTCCTGGAAAAAAAACTGTCAGGAACTTTACTAACTTCTGTAATGGCATTCTTTGTTTCCTTTCCTACCCTCTTCATCAGCTTGTATGAACTGATGTAGGTGGTAGCAGCATCCCACTATCCTCATTAATTAGCCTCACTTAGCAACCACAAGTAATCTATAGCAATGTTATAGGAATTGTACAGTTTATTTCTTTATTCACTTAAAAATGAATAAACTTCTCTACTTGAATGCTCGTGTCACTATGTAGCCCTGCTGACCAAACAAGCACATCTACTAACATCTGCAAAATTGCACTCCATATCCTTCTTGACTTTTCATCCATAATCTTATAAGGGAGTAGTCCAGTCTATATTTGCTTAATTGTAGGTAGATTAATATCCTTTTGGCCTAAATGTTTGCCAAGCCATCTCAACAGCTCCGATCACAATTGCCTCCGTATCATCTAGGACAAGTCATTTACCCTCTTGGTCTGATTCTAACACTACTGTACATGAACAGCACTTTCCAATATCCTAGTTATCTCCCTGTACTAAAAGCCCAGCCACAGAACAAGTAAATCATACCATGGCTTTGCAATGCAGGTTGAGGGGCTCCTCTTCTCTCTCAGCTGTTTGCTGTGTTCATCTCCAGTAGAAGACCTTGCGCACGCACTGTAGACCTTCTTTCCAGATACTAAACCCTGTAATTCTTCAGCATAATCAGTTTGCAGGGCTTTGGCACCAGCTTACAGAAAAAGAGACTCATAAAAAACTTCAGCTCCTAATCAACACGTCTCTTTACTCCATCTTTTTCTCCTTTTTTAATTATGACCAGACGTTGTCACTCCAGGGTGACTACCCCACCACTGTGCTGTGCTCAGCCTGGGCTTTTTGCAATCTGTACCTCCTGTTCCTTATTCCAGAGGGGTTTTAGTTTTCATAAATCCTTGCTGCTAATTTGTCGCCAAGCTCTACAGAAGGGTCCAGTGTGCATGTGCTACTTTTTCGCTCTCTGGAGCTGTTCTGAGCAGTGTGCTGGACAGTGTGAAGAGGACAGTCTGGCACTACGGACCTAAGGGCTCTCTAGCAGCTAGTGCATTTCCATGGTGTACGACTGACAAACTTCAGCTGCTAGTTTTCAAACTGTGCAGCAGCCCAGACCCACCTCCCTGTGGGGAGGGGAAAAGAGAAGGAGGGGGAGGCCAGTTCGTTTGAAGCAGCTCTTTTCACAATAAAAGCCCTGCTTGCTGCTGCTTAAACACAGAGGGCTGCGTTCAGCCACAAGACACAGGTAAGGAAAAGTTAAAAGAAATGAATCCCCACCTTCTTCTCCAAGAACCCAAATTACAGCATAGACTATAGAAAAATGCACCACAGGATTGTATTAACCCTTGAGATCAGCCAGACGAGTAGAAGCAAAATTCAACTAAATGCAAAGATGTCCGAGAGGAAATCCTTTCATTGTCTTTATAGTATTATTTTTCTTTTCCATCGGCACATAACAGAGGGTCATGTCTTGCTATTTCATAAGTATTCAAACATGCTAGGATATTTGAACCACGTTTCTTATATAGGCTTATAACAAAAAATAACATTGGACTAACAATTATCACAGCTTTTATCACCATCACAGGACCTCAAGGCCTTTTATAACCACTATTTCATTAAGCAGTAGTAATCACTGGCATTAACCTATTGACAGGCAGAGGTATTCCCATATGGTGATGTGATGCCTATATTACATTGGAGGCGTGTAAGGGTGAAAAACTTAATGTACCACCCTGCTCTGCCCTTTCCCCCTCCCACCCCAGCACATTGAAATGAACCTAGCCTCCATATCACTCTCAGCAAACCAATTACTAGTGCAGATGACCTCTTTGTAGGGTAAATTCCATTCAGTGCAGGCTATATCAACTGAGCATCACTGTGGAGCCAATCCACTGGCACAAACAACAGGCTGTCATCTGTAACAGTTTTGCCAGCTGCCTCATCCAATAAACCTCCTTCGTTCACCAGGTGAGAGTCCTCTCTAACCACCTCATTATGACCCTTGCCTGGTAACTCCCACAGTATCCTCCCACTCTCCAGAAGTGGCCATTCTCCTTCCAGTCTAGCCCTTCCCCTCCTAGCCCCCGGGGGCATCTGCTATATTCCCACCACAATTCAGAAATGATTTTGCTGTTCTGGCTCAGAGTTCACCTGCTTCCACTGTATTGCAGGCTAAGCCACAACTCTCTCTGTGGCCTTCTACTTTCTAGCCATCCCACAGCCACATCCTCCAGGCCCCCAGTGTCCAAGGGGAGTGTTCTAGCCACTGGACTAGTCTATAGAAGAGGGGCAGTGGCTCTTCTTTCAATACTGCTTTGAAAGAAAGGAGCAATGGAAACTGCATTTTGTGCAGAGCCTGCTGAATGTATTAGGTGTGCTCTGAGAACACCTAACCAGGTCGAGCCCATCAGCAAACTTAATCAGAGAAGCATCTCATTTTTGGATGCAAATTGAGCATAGGTGTGAAATAGATAAGCACCAGGGTTCTCAGCCCTGTCAGGACTGAGTCGCTGTTGTTTGTGGATTGAAGCAGAATTCTAAGGATGTTTGAAATCAAAAGTTAAGTTACTTGTGAAGTTTAGGTGCATTTCCACCTATGTCCCATTTTGGGCACCCAAAGTCCTCTTTAAAGTCTTGGTCCCAAATAACTGGGGGAACTGCAGCAAAAAGAATGGAGCTTGTGACCACGGTTTTCCCCCAGGTGTTCAGCTCCCAGTTCCCTACGCTCACCTTCCTGCTTGTTAGGTTTAAAAAGGGAAGGGGAGAAGGGTACAGTAGCAGAAGGACCTAGTTTCCAGCTTCATACCTTCTGCTGTAGCCCCAGTCAGCAAGCCATGGGTGTTTCAATTACTGATTGTCTCATATTAACAAACCACATATAAATCAAACAAGGTGGACTTAGAAGAAGTGAACCATCAGGGGTCCCTCTGTCTTCAGATCTGAGCAGTGGAGAAGCAAAGGACCATAGCCAGAGGGAAAGGGATACTTGCTAAGTAGAAAATACTGTGGAGAGCAGAGCACAGTCCACAGTTACAGCCCAGCTCAGGATGGAAGGGTGTTTCCAAGAACCCCCTGAGAAGTACATATTCTTCTTGTGGACTACAGTATCGCCAGATGGCTTGGTAGGCCTCCCTTGTGTTTGGAACTGGAAGTAACCCATGGGCAAGGCACTCAGCACTACTTAAACTCTGAATCGTGGGGGAGGTGGGCCTACTGCCCACTGTCACACAAGGGTACACACACAGTTCCAGTAGGGATGC